TTTTTTGGTTTTTCGAGACAGGGTTTCTCTGTGGCTTTGGAGCCTGTCCTGGAACTAGCTCTGTAGACCAGGCTGGTCTCGAACTCACAGAGATCCACCTGCCTCTGCCTCCCGAGTGCTGGGATTAAAGGCATGCGCCACCATCGCCCGGCTTGTATAACAGTTATTATAGCTGTCCTGAACTAACTCTTGTAGACCAGGCTGGCCTCAAACTCACAGAGCTCTGCCTGCCTCTGCCTCCTGAGTGCTGGGATTAAAGGCGTGCACCACCACACCGCCTAGCTAAATGCTTTTTTTTATAAGCTGCCTCGGTCATGGTGTTTTATCACAGTAATAGAAAAATAACTAAGACAAGCTCTCAGGAATCAGAGCAGTTGAGTTAATGACTTGACAGTGACATCATCTGCTGAGGGCCAAGTCCATGGGCACAAACCCCATTGTCACTCATCCCTGCTCTGAGAAGGGATTCTTGCAGGCCCAGCATTCTCAGGGAGCAAGGAGACTTGCAGCTGCATACTGTATGCTACCTTGTTTTCTCCACTCCCAAACTACTGATTTCTTTTTAAAAATAATTTGTAATTGCATTTATTTGGTGCGTGTGTGTGTGTGTGTGTGTGTACATGTGTGTGTGTGCTTAGAGGCCTGAGGTCAACATCAGACACCTTCCCTAATTGCTTCCCACCTTACGGTTTGAGGCAGAGTCTTTCACTGAGCTCAGGACTCATCAATTTGGCTAGACCAGCTGGCCAATGAGCCCAGGGGAGCCTCCATTCCCCAATAGAGTAGTTTTCAAAACCCAGACAGACTGAGTGGCTTGACTAGCCATTCCTGTGATTTATTGTCTCTCTGCGGGTAAATCCTGAGCACAGGACTGGCTGGGGCTCTCACTTTCCAATGTGGAGGGATGGTGGAACATCTGTTGGCTCCAGGGATCAGTGCTGTGGGCCCGAAAGGTTTTCACTGGCCCCAGGTGCCTTTGTTCTTCCATTAAATGCTCCCATTTGAACTTGCAAGACACAAAAGCTTTGATGTGGTTTTGAGTCTCTCCCTTTCCTCCACTGGCATTTCTTAATCTTCTCAGTGAGCCTGCTTCTAGCTGCTCTCTCTCCCTTTTACTGAAATGTCTGAAAAAAACCCACAGTTTTTATTTTGTATTATATAAAAGCCAGAGCAATGAGGCTTAGAGTGAAGAGCCTGAGGTGTGCTGTACAGAGAGTACCAAACAGTGAGCAGACTGTGCCAGCATCTCCTAAGAATCTGTGTCTGAACAGTTCTATGTCAGAAAGAGCCCCTATTCCTAAAGGACACAGATTTCTGAATATGATGTCACTAAGGTGTGGATAGGTAGGTGGATGATGATGATAGACAGAAGATAGGTGTGTATATAGATAGATAGGTGATAGATAGATACAGATATAGATACAAAGATAGATGATAAACAATAGATGATAGACCATAGACTGATAGATAATAGGTAATTGATAGATGATACCTAGAGATAGGTGACAGATTTATGACAGATAGATAGATGGATAGATAGATAGATAGATAGATAGATAGATAGATAGATAGATAGACAGACAGACTTCTTTTTTTTATTTTTTGAGAGAGGGTCCTGCTCTATAGCTTAGGCTGGCCTCAATACTGTACTCTTAAGCAACTGTCTTGCCTTAGCCCATGGAACAGGATTCCAGGATCACCACCCTGCCCTGAAATCATTATATATGTCTTTACAAATTCCTTCAGGTCCCATTTTCTCCAACTTCAACCAGCTGATATCTAGCAAATGTCAGCTAAGGTCCACTCATCCCCCTGAACCTGAGGCATCCCCAGTACTCCAGGCCTCAGCTTCTAATTTGTTTTAAGTTTTGTTTATACTTTGATTACTTTACAGGAGCAGGTTTCCTTGTAGCAAGATGTTATGCACCTAGTTTCAGTCTTGTTCTCTCACCCCCTCCTCTCTACAATCTCCCTACCCTACCCCTCTTATTCTCGTCCATCTCCAGTATCCTTTCTACTGCCATGTTACATGTGCCTATTACCCTCGTAAATTCTCTCCATTAAAGCCATTTTCCCCCTCGAACGGGTCTCTTTCTGGTTTCCTGGAATCTGTCTATACACATTCAATTCCCACATAAATATACCTATTAAAACTCAGAAGCTAGACCCATACATGAGAGAGAATACATAGCAATTGTCTGAGTCCCATTCACTGTATTTTCCAGTTCCACCCATTACCCAGCAAACCACAGTATTTCACTTTTCTTCATGGATGAGTAAAATTCTTCTGTGCATGTGTAGCGTGTTTTCCCTTTCCATTCATCCGTGTATGGACTTCTCGGTTGTTTCCATCCCCTGGCTGTTGTGAACGGAGCAGCAATGAGAGTGGACATACCCATATCTCCGTGACAAGATGCAGAGTCCTTCTGAGAAAACGAAAGTCTGTGCTTGAGTACAGAGGTATGAATGGAAATAAGCCCTGTGGCTGTTCTAAACTGGAACTGAGTGTCCCCATGGTCTGTATAGTGATACCACTTGCTTTGGGAGAGGTTGTCTAAAAGGACTGGGCGTCATTCACCTCACCCAGCATGGCCATCGCCAGCTGCTCATATGACTAAGCATACCACTGTGCAGAGAGGAGCACCATGCTCTTCCTGTCTTAGAGAAGCTGGTCTGTAAATCAAGTCACAACTTAAAACAAAAACACAGCAAGGAAAAACATTTGGTGATTAAACAGTCATGATTAAACTGAAGGAGTGTAAGTAAATATTCATGACGCTTTATGTTTACTACCATATATATATATTGTTCAGGTCTCTTCAGGAACAGTGTCTTACAACACTGGCATCCTCAGAGTTTCAGGACCTACATTTTGAGACTTGTCTCTAAGCATTCAAGCATGTTTTATTTCCTCCTATCCAATATCTGGGACTTAATTCCTCTAATCTGCACATTGGTTGAACATGCCCAGCCCTCAATCATTGCCTTCTAACAATGGAATCCACAAGGAAAAAAAAAAAAAAGACAAAGCAAACAAAAAAAGAACCACCAAATCAAAGACATCACTTTTGCTGGTGATTTATTGCTTTAAGGAGAAAAGCTGTAAACAAAGAATTTGCACAATGCAAACCCATCACGGGTGAACAAACACATTCCCTGCTCCACAAATCATGAGAAAAATGAGGAATGTGGTAAACATGACAGGTTGCCCAAGGGCTAGTTTTCCTCTACTGGGCACTTTAAAGACATTTCTTCATGGGTATTCACTTACAACATGGCAGCAGGAATATTTAAATACTCAATCACAGTTTGAAAACAGGTACATATATTCAAACATACACACACACACACACACACACACACACACACACACACAGAGCTATGCAGGGACACACAGCTAATCATGGCCATTCCTGCTTCCCAGCCATTCAGAGCTGTCACTGCAGTTCCTTTGAATCAAAAAAAAAAAAAAAAAAAAAGAAGTCTTTTTTTATTTTATTTATTTGGTTTTTCGAGACAGGGTTTCTCTGTAGCTTTAGAGCCTGCCCTGGAACTAACTCTGTAGACCAGGCTGACCTCAGACTCACAGAGATCTGCCTATCTTTGCCTCTCGAGTGCTTGGATTAAAGGCATTGCACCATCAGCACCCAGCCAAACACAAGTCTTTAAAAAGAAATGACATGAGTCAACACCATAGTCAGAGATTGTGATGTTCTCCACAACCTCCATGTGTACAGCATCCAAAATCAATTAGGGTGATTACAGACAATCAGATCATTTGAAATTACTTTCTTTGATCAATCTCCAATCACCTCAAAATTAGAATTTCAGCACCGGGTCTGTGAATCCCCTCTTGTGACTCTGGAGCCTTTGGTTGGGGGACAGGTAAGTAGTCTGAGTGTGAGTATCATGGGAGATGGCATGGGTGTCACATGATCTTGGGCTTCGGAGCTTGTCTATAGTGCCCTGGTTGATAAGAACTTGAGTAAATTACTTAACTTCTAAAGATCTTGCCGTCTCAATCCTAAAATGGGCAGGGTAAAGGCATAACTCCTGGGCTCACTGAAAGGATTAAGTGGGCTATGTCAGTAAAGCATGGAGTAGTGGTCTTGGTTGATGCATGTTCCACACTTCTCCTCGCTCTCCTCTCTCTCTCTCTTTCTCAGCACACTCAAGAAGTTCACTCAGGGTGCCACAGTGAATTTCTTCACAGATGGTTAGCGCCTTCTCATTGCTCTTTTCTTTGCCTCTAAGCATTGTGGGGGAGGGTGAGGATCTAAGGCCTTGCTTATATGAGCCTCCAGTATCAGTCTCTTAGGTTCTGTTTAGATCTCCTCCTACGCTGGGGTGGAGTAAGTGTGGATCTGGGCCTCAGCTCCCCAGTCCCTTTGAGTTCCAGAGCTTTTGTTTATCAAATGGAGAAAGGTTGTGTTCTGAGCACAGCTCTAATTGATAACCTGATAAAAGGCACCACGGTGCTTAGCACCAAATAAGCTATCAATAAATGGACTTATTTTTTTCTTAAACTGTACTTGCTATTCTTAACTTTCCTTGAATCAGGCCACACCATTACAGGCTGTTTTTAACCATTAAAAAGAAAGTCTTAATATTGCATCCATGTCTTCTTCCTTGGGACTTTAGTTCTTGGTTCTAAGACAGTTCTTCTGATCCTCATATAGGCCAGGTTCATTTCTCAAAACCAATAATTGCTGAGCTACTTCGGCCATCCCTCCTTTCTAGTCCCAAGATCACCCTAACTCCTCTAACTGAGCCCCCTTTGATCAAAGATGTTAGGCTCAATTCCCCCAAATAGGAAGGATACCTGGTAAGACCCCAACTTACAGCTCCTATGGAAGCTCTTTCAGAATTAGATATTAAGACAGATTTTTTTCCAAGCTAAAAAAATATCTAACATGATCCACAAAGAACTTACATAAGTGATAATCCCCAGGGTAGCATATATTTACATGCAAGCTCTTGTACACATATGAACATACATGTATTCAAGGTACTAAGCCACCTTTAATGGAGGATTTTCACTGGTAAGATGAGTTCTTGGAAGAAGAGTGTTTCTGAGGAAAAGTAGGAGTGTAAATATAATGTATTTTTTTTCCTTAAATACATGTTGAGCACCACTGTTTGCCTTGCACAAGGCCAGGTCTTTGGGAGGTTACTAGAAGGAGGGGAAATCGCAAGTTCCCTTTTCTATTTAAGAATTCATTTGTGTGTTGTGTATAGTTCTCCCACAGGCATCTTCCCACCACAGCACATATGGTGCTGGGCAAACAGAACCATCTTACAAATGCATATTGTGAGCTGGTTCTGATTTCAAGGTAGGAGGAGCCATGGGAGATGTGCATGCCTTTTCCTGTCTCATTTAGTTTGGATGCTTAATACTTAAACACTCCCCTCTTGTGGGAGAGGAGCTAGAGAGGCAATATTAAGGGCCAAACTGAGAAGGACAAGCTGCTGATTTCAGTTGCCTTTCCCATCCTGACTTGTTTGGAAGGTTCTGAAGCAAAGAGGAAATATGAATTAGGAAGTTAATATATCTGGGATGTGAATCTCCAGATGGGTGATTTTGGTTGACTTTCTTCTTTGGGCTTCCATTTCACAGTTTCAAGAGCAGAACTTAGGAAGGGAACACCTCAATGTTATCACAAAGCTCCACCGAGCAAGGATGTGGCAAATCTCATAGACAAAGGGTAGTGCATACAACAAACCCAGTAAACCAATGACGACAGAAAAATCTCACACTCTACTGCTAAAATAAACAGTAACATTATTATCACATAGGAGAAATCTCTTTCTTCAAATTACAAACTCTTTGGCTTTTACCTCCGTTAAATAGATTTCCATTTCTAAACAGGTGGTCAACTTCTGTCTAAGGCTATAAACTGAGCCACTAAAACTATGAAGTAGCTCACTAAAGCAGAAGAGATGCATCATGGGCCAGGGACTATTGTGGCCTCATCACTCCTGCCAGAAGCCACCCAGAGCAGTGAAGGGTGACCTACTTATTTGTTTGATACATACATCCTGCTAGGTCTGATCTGAACTTCAAAAGAATCTTCCAAGCCCAATGAGGGCATCTTCCCAACTATCCCACTGTTTTAGGGTGCTGTTGAGACATCCGACAGGTCATCCCAAGATCCCTACTAACTCCCAGGAGCCTCAGGGCAAGAGAGGCCCAGATGTTGGAAAGAGTTGGCTAATTGCCCTAAGAACTTGGTCAGCTGCAGATTCAATGACCTGATCAGCTATGATCTGTGAGACTGGCTGTCCTTGTCCCATCTCTACAGGATGGGCAAAATAAAATTTCTCAAATTACAGTTCTGGTTAACATGAACCCAATTTGAGCTCTTCACACTACAGGGAGAAGTGAAATGTATCCTCAGTTATGCCCAGATTAATGGAAATGACTTTCTATTGCAAAGATAAAGGACACAACCCTTGACCTCACCTGGAAAATGTTTGGTGACTTGGTGGTACAAAGTTCTTTGGTGTGTTGCAGGCAAAAATGCCTTTGATAGTATCATTTGGCAAGGCCCAAATAATAGCTTATTCCTGTGTCTCCCATCCCATCCATCTATCTGAAAGGATCCTAACATCATCAGGTTTGGCATCTGAAGAAGGAGCCTTTGATGTTGGCTCTTCAGCTGACTCTGTTCCTTGGGTAGCTCCATCACGATTTCTGACAACTTGACCAGGCTGGAACCGGACAGGCTGGGTCAGGCTTGGGATTCATGTTGAACAGTCAGAGATGTGTTAGATGTGTTTCCTTTGGAGTGATATAGACTATCCCCAAGGAAGGACGCATTGTCTGAGTCTGAGCGATGCTCTTCTGGGCCAATAGGATGGTCAAAATAGGAACACAGGCAAATGGTCAGGTTCAGGGAATATAGAATTGAGTAGGAAGTAGATGGAATAAGACTCACTTGTGAAGTCCTGGGTCACAGAGACTGGATGCTTTGTAAACATGGGGCTTTTACCCCGAGCCACACACCTACCTAATTGGCAATCTCTGAGAAGTCAGGGTAAGAGTCCAAGTCCGCAAAGATATCATTTGGATTCCTGCAGCTCAGGTTGCAGAAGCAAGCATTGATCCATAGGACCTGACGTGAGAAACTCGGCCCCTCTGGACACTGGAATGTGACACTGATGGTCTTGGACTTGTAGGGGATACAGCACCTGTTGTCAGTGCAGACTCCACAGTACTTGGGTCGGTAGGTGCGGGTGCTAACACAGCCCCCGAGAGTGAAGTTCATGGGCTCCTCTGGCTGGTACACAGCCAGACACTTCTTCCCAGCCTTCAGGAAAGGAAAGGAACCTTCTGTTAATTATACTCTGGTGATGCACAGCCACCTCGTTCCCACCAAGCATCCAGTACTCCCCTGCCCGTGAGCATGTGCGGCAAACATCACCTTTGCTCCAGATTCGCAGCACCTTCGAGCAAGGGAGGATGTCGGCAAACACACGGCATAGGTAAACTGAAGAATGCAGAAGGGGGTTACCAGGCTGCTGCGCTCGGATCTCACAGTCTGCAGTCTCTCTTCTCCTGCATTTTTGCCTTTTTGGTGCCCATATGCCAGTGTCATCAGCACAGGAAGGCTTGCTATCTCTTTTAGCAAACCAATCTTCCCAAACAGTGAGTGACTGAGCTGGCATGGAACTCCACAATCAGGTAGGGACGTGCTTTGCCCTCACCTGTCTCCTCTATTCCAATGCTTCCCCCTCTCCCACTCCCTCCTCCCCCACTCTCCCTCATACACACATACAAACACACAATACCACGATGCAGCATTTTCAATAGCACTGACACTACTTTAATCCAATAATAGCCTTCCATGAGGCTGTGGGCTTCTTGATACTTGAGCCTCTTTCCATATCTCACTAATATAATCGCGAAGCTGGTATACATTTAGGCGCTTACTAAATGCCTTGGGCTAGTATTTCTTAGAGTATATTATCAGCACCTTATCAGAACTGGGGGCAGAGCACATCCATTGTGGGTGGGGCATGTAGCTGGTCCAGTTGGGGAAGCCAGCTAGGGTAGATGATCATGGAGACAGGAAAGGAATCACGAGCCTACAGTGACTAGCCCAGCCTTGTGACAGATTTTCTTATCCCAGATTAGAGTCCTAGTTCTTATGCCTCCCTATGCTGGGCCCTCCAACACTCCTACTTCCTATTAGAAGACACTCAATGAGGACTTGATGGCACCCAGGGTTGGTACAACAGAGGGAGAAAAGATGAAAAAGAAGAAAAGTGTGTGCCTATCAAAGATGACAAGATGTTGTCTCGATAAAAAGACATGCCTAAAGGATATGGTGAGAAGTGGGGTTCTCTTTCTACTGCATCCTTTTCTCAGCATCCAAAGAACTTTTCCCACTCCACTAACAGATCCAGCGATGAGCCCTGTGTAGTTTGCTTTGTTAGATGTGACATTGGGTGGACCAGCACTAAGGTCTTGGCCAGCACTGGCTACAGCAGCAAACACAAACAGGAGAGAAGCATTTGACCCTATGTGTTTCAAGTTCTAACAGCCTTCACGGTGTCCAGGTAGCTGTCCTGTACCTGTGCAGGTGGATGTGGGATGCCGTGGAGATGAAAGGTAGTACAGGTCCCTCAGAATCATTGCAGAAAGAACACTTGAGATGGTTCCCAATTTCTGCTTGGAGTGACCTTGCTTTTGACCAGATGAGAACTACAAAAGCATCCATTCAGTGAAATCCATCACGGACCAGCCTAGCAGCCGCATCTTCCTAAATCACTTACCCTGGGCTTGCCAGACAGCCTTCATTATTTCCATCTTACGAAGTTTAGTGGCCAGGCACAAAGCCAACTCTATGCTGTACATGCTCATCATGCCTAGACCTGCCTGAGATGCCCACCTTTGCTCTGGCCTTACCTTGATGTATGGATGGATGTCCACTTCACACGGCCGGAGATTGCAGAGGCGACTTTCCTGCTCCGGCCAGCACCGGGCATTGACGTTAGAGATCCGAGTTGAGATTCCTAGACCACAGGTGGTTGAGCAAGGACTCCAGGGGCTGGTGTAGGCTATGCAGTTCCCGTGCCATTGCTCCACTGTGCCTGAAGCTGCTGTGGAGGGACACCAGAACACCCATGAGTCTGCAGCCTCCACAAGCTCCTCCCGTCCTCACCATCACCATGCCGCAAATATATAGGCTTCATGAGACTCAGAAAGAGGCAAACAGATAGAGATGAGGACACAGAGACAGACAGACAGAATTGGGCTGTACCTCCCTGTAAGGAGGAAGACAAAATACCTTCTAATTGGCAGGGGCACCCGGGCAGGGGAGACTACATTCTTACACTTAACATTTTTTTTTCTGACCAAGAGATGAAGTATTAAATCATGGAAGGAAACCTCATCTTTAGAGCAAGGTGGTCCCCAGGGCAAATTCTTTTCTGTGATAGTTAATATTGACTGTCAACCTGACAGGAACTAGACCTGTGGGCATGTCCGGCGAGGATTTTCTATATTGGGTTAACTAAAGTAAGAAATCTACCTCAACTATGGGCATAGACTGGGCTGGCATAGGCCATGTAGTTCCCATGCTATTACTACACTGTGCCTGAAGCTGCTGTAGAGGGTCACCAGAATACTCATGAATCTGAAGCCTCCACGAGCTCCACAAGTTAAGGTGGAATGAAGTTCCACCTTAACTATGGGCATGGACTGGGGTTCCCGAGCGAGTGAAAAGAAGACAGTGAGCTGAGCACAGCATTCATCATGGTTTGCTTCCAGACTGGATGCTCTGTGACCAACTGCTGCCTCATTCTCCTGCTGCCTTTTTTGTTTTTTAAAAAAATATTTATTTATTTATTTGTTATGTATACAATATTCTGTCTGTGTGTATGTCTCCAGGCCACAAGAGGGCACCAGACCTCATTACAGATGGTTGTGAGCCACCATGTGGTTGCTGGGAATTGAACTCAGGACCTTTGGAAGAGCAGGCAATGCTCTTAACCACTGAGCCATCTCTCCAGCCCCTCCTGCTGCCTTTTGTACTCTTATTTTCACTGAGGTGAGATTGACTTCTATGTTTATTTAGTATTGTTTATTTTGACATTACAGTATTATGTCTGTGTTTGTGTATTTACTGGGACTCCCTGGTTTAGTGAGTCCTAGTACAAGCCAGCTCGACTATAGTCCCATTGGATTATTTGCTCTTGACTGTCCTGTGAACATACAGATCCTTAGCATCTATCTGATGGGTACTTGCTTAGCCAGAGGTGAGCAGGAGAGATGGGTGAGCTGTGGAGGGAGACAGGCAGATGGCAGGCAAAATGAAACAGCCTGCAGAAAGATGGGGTAGACACACAGAGATCCCCCAGGAACAGGAAATGGGAGGAAAGGAGGCAGGCGGGGAGGAGGCAGGGGGGATGGAAGGGGGGATGGAAGGGGAGAGAACAAGAGCAAGGACAGACAAGGCAATCAAGGAATAGAGAGAAGAGTGGAAAAAACACATCAAGCAAACGAGGAATCTCCTTAGGGTAACAGAGTTCTTCATGCGGTCCCCAGAGCTTCCAGGCGTGCAACAAGCACTGCTGATGAATGGATTTGAGATAGGGAAGCCTTCAACAGGCAGAAGGGAGAGAGCAATGGAGGCATCCAAGGACAGAGGCGGCAGGCAGTCTGGGATGCGTGGAGCAAGCCAGGAAGGAGGGATTAGCCTGGGAGGATGAGAGGATCAAAGGGCTTTGCTTTCTGGGTCTCCTTCACACCTCTGCAGGGGCTCTGCCTGGGATGATAAGAACTGGGTCACTGGGTCACACACAATGAGCAGGCAGCCTCTGCCTCCCCTCCATCACCCACTGACTCTTGTTCAGATACACTGGAGGGAGGTTTACGGGAGGAGCTGCCATGCTGTCCTGAGCTGCCAGAGACCAAGCCTTCCCTGCCACATCATCTCTCCATGTGGGTGACTTTATCCCCTAGCCACATGTGTTAATGTCTGGAGGTGTTTCTGATGGTCACAACTTAGGAAACGGTTATGGTCATCTAAGGGACTGCTTAGGGAATGCTACCAAGCCTGCAACATCCCTTTCCTCAACAACAACAAAATCCTTCTGATGCTAAGTGCTACTGATACCAAGGTTAAGACTCCAGCTCTGCACAGGCTCTGAACAAACTTATAAGCTTAGAATTTTTTTAAAAAAAAAAAACATTAGCACCCCTAAAGGCGCAGCAGCAAGCCGTCTGCTCTTTTTTGGGACCCCCTGCTTCAAAGGCACTGTCCCCTAGCAAGGTCCTCATTCTGTGGCCCATGCCCCGCCTCCTCATGTCTCTGTAGTCCCTGGTCTCTTCTTCCCTTGTCTACTTCTCAAAGGTCAGCCTCCCTAGACCTCTGCTCTAGGCTCCTCTCTCTCTCTCTCTCTCTCTCTCTCTCTCTCTCTCTCTCTCTCTCTCTCTCTCTCTCTCTCTCTCTCTCTCTCACTGTGTGTGTTATTCCAGACCTCTTCAACCATCTACAGCTGCTGTAAGCAGAGCTGTCTTCCTGTGGGGCCCCCTCCATGAGGCTGCCCGCACTAAACATTTCTACCCTTCACCCTCCCCCAGCTCAGCATGTTCATGGCAGATAGCCCACCACCACCCTAAATATGTTCCTTCTCTTGTCTTCTCTCCTGGGCAGCGGCCAGTGCCTGTAACCACTCTGAATTCATCCCACTAAGCCAGGCACAGCACAAATGCCAGGCCCTGGGTATACTCTAGCCCTGATTCTTGCCCTTGTCCATTTCTCCTTCTATTCCCTCTGCCCTAGTTCAGATGCCTAACTATGCATTTATCCACTATCATTCAGCCAGACACCGTCCATCTATTTTTATTGACCCATCTATCATCCTATCATCCATCCACCCATCCACCTACCATCTGTGCATAATTGTATTCATTCTATCAATCATCTATCTATCTATCTATCTATCTATCTATCTATCTATCTATCTATAATTCTATACATCTATTTCCATTCAATCTGTAACCATCTATTCTACATGCATTCATCTGTGTTTCTATTGACTTAACCATCCATCCATCCATCTGTCTAATCACCCATCCACCTACTCCCCTTCCATTCTCCAACCATTTCTCCTCTATGCATCTATCCATACATATGTGTAATGATTGTGCAGTATACACACACACACACACACGATCAGTCACCTATAGCCAAAACCTTATATAGCTTCCTCTGCAAGCATGAATTGGGTACTTTCCAAGTATCTGGCAAGTGCACTGGCCTCTGTTAGGCAATGGTGAAAACAATCATGTTCCTGTCTTCCCACCTAGGGCTTCCTTTTCTCAGGCTTACCTAGACAAACTTCATCTGCTCACCTGATGATAGCAATGCATTCCCTGAGTTACCTGGAAGGTCCATCTATCCCCTCCTATGCCCTGCCACCTGATCCTTTTTCTAGATCCCTAAACACTCTCCAGGCTACTTTAGTAAGATGAGAGAGGACAGCACACACCGCACCAGGATTTTATGCTGGGAGCAGCTTGCAAGACAGGCAGTAAAGATGATGTCATTTGCATTTTACAGATGGAGAATTTGGATCCCAGACAGCACATCCTGAAGGCCATATAACTGGTGAGTTGTGGAGTGGGTAATGGCCTGGAAGCTTGATTTATTAAAAGAAAACCAGGACTCTAGGGGCTCTGTGGTATGCAGAGACTCCGCTCGTCTTTGCCCACACTTACCAAAGGCTCTGGTGTCCAGCAGTGCTGTCTGGCGTGGCCTCCTTGCGTCATCGTCGCATACCCATTGCTCACAGCACTGGCCAGGCACCCTCACATGCCGGGGTTGTCGGCACCAGAGGCGCGGGGGCCTGGGGCTGAGGCACAGTGGTGTGCAGCCCACTGTGCCATCAATGCACGTGCAGTTATACCTGCAGTTGGGCTGGAAGGACTCGCCATTGGTGTAACGCACGCCATCCAGGACGCAGCCCACACCGACCACCTCTGCAAACACAGGTGGTGGACATGTCAGGCCAGGAGGGGTGGGGTCTGTGCCAAGATGTTTCTGTGCAATTTTCCCTCTGCCTAGGATGCCGTGCCAAGAAATCACTCATGTGAGGAAGGGGGGGGCTGCCCCACATATCAGCTGGCTGCACCCCAAGGGCAAAGATGGGGACACGTGAAGAGATGGTACACAGCAAGGAGAAAGGGTACAGTGAAGGTCTTAGCTACTGAAGAGTCTGCTGGATGTTGGATGGGAGGGCCCAGCTCCATAGTGCAAGAGCTCAGGCATTTTTTTTTTTTTTTTTTTTTTTTTTTGCCCTACACTGTCCCCAGCACTAGGCCTAGTACCGATGAATGCCTGTCCAAGGGAGGAAGGCATACACATGAAACCAGAACCTAGATGCAAACTGGACTGCCTTCATCGGTACTGACTGTGGAGTATGGCAGGAGCTGAGGACCCAATCCTGAACAGAATGAGGATGGGATGGTCCTTGAAGATTGATGAGGTGGGAAGAGGGACCAATGGTCGTCTGGAGTGTCTGTTGATAATGACAGCCACTCGTAATAAGTGTTGAGGGATAATGTAACAAGGAGGGAGTAATGGGTGTAAACATGGCTGTAGACCGAGACAAGTGAACCAGGAAGATTCGCGGACCTGAGAGACCAGAATGAGAGGGAGGCAGACCAGGCATTGATGTCAGTCTTCCAGGTAGGGAGGGCATCTACTATAGCTAAGGGCCTGATGAGGTAACAGGCCTTGGGGGAGGGAAGCAGGAAGGGAGAAAGAAAAGGGTGTGTTGGAGGCAATGAGACTAGATCCATCTTCCTCCTGTCTCAACGGAAGATCCAGAACTGTTAGTGTCTAGATCTCTTCCTGGCGCACAGTAGGTGTTCAATAAGTAATTGAATGAATGAGATGAATTATGTACTTCACAAGAAAATCTTGTGGTAATAAGTAGACTATTGGCTGGAGAAAGCCACAAGACAGCCCTGGATGGCACCCCAATGACCCAGGCAGAGGATAGTGGCTTCTCAGACCAAAGCAAAGAAAAAGCTCACCATCCAGACACATTTTCAAGAAGAGCTGCAAAGCCCCCCCCCCCCCCCCCCCCCCCCCGGGAGTCAAAGAAGACTTCCAATGCTCTGTACTGAGGCCCAGAAAATGAGCTCTTCCCTCCTCTCCGGAAGAGTCGGGACTGGGGCAGGATGGCTCCAGAGTCTTCCATTAGGCATGAGATATGCCTGGTGGAGTTGGCAATAGAAACCGGCCTTGCATGGCTTGGGAAACGCTGGGCCAGATTCTACCCTTGGTGCTGTGTGCTCCTTGGGAATAGCATCTGGAACAATCCATAGAGGGTCCTGGGACATCAGGAATGCCCACAGGAAAGAGGCAGTTAGGAGTCTGCTGTTTGCAGGAACTCTGTCCTGTCTGCTGGATTGGCGGGGGTGGTGGCTGATCATAAGGAAAAGGACATCTGGCAGGTGCAAACACTGTCAGAACCAGGGTCTCTGTTTTGGGTTTCACAGCGTATTTTGTTTTGTAAGGAAACACATTGTCCCTCCCACTGTTGTGTATAGTGAAAATAGTCTCAGTAGGGTGACATCAGAGTGCAAGCTGGCCAATAAGGCAGTTTCAGGGTGTGTGCCTCTCACTGTTGTTATCTTTTCCCGGACATCCAGGAAGCAGGTTCTGGCATGCATCGACACCAGTTCCTGGCCCGTGATCTTACTCAGGTCTCCCAATAATGACTTCATCAGGAGAGCTTTGTCTACTGCATTAGGGACAGGAGAGGTCGAGGAGGAGGGATTCGTGTGCTCAAATGACGTGAGTGATGGAGCAAGTGAATGACAGAGAGGAGACGCTAAACCCACAGCCTTCTTCCTTCTACCTGACATCAGAAAAGGAGGGAGATGAGGGGAGAGGAAGAAAAAAGTTCAGGCTCAGGAAGAGGAACAGGATGCAAGGAGGCCCCTGAGCCTCAATCACCACACCACATCCTCAAACTCCCGAAAGATGTGTTTGTACATATGTGTACATGTGAGTGTGTAGTCAAATGTATGCTTGTGTATGTACATCTTTGTGCATGCTAGTTTATATATGTGCATGTGTGTATGTGTGTGTCTCTCATCTGTATGTGTGTATGTGTGTGAGTCTCTCATCTGTGTGTGTGTATGTGTGTGTCTCTCATCTGTATGTGTGTATGTGTGTGAGTCTCTCATCTGTGTGTGTATGTGTGTGAGTCTCTTGTCTGTGTGTGTATGTGTGTAAGTCTCTTGTCTGTGTGTGTGTATGCGTATATGTGTATGTATGTGAGTCTCTCGTCTATGTGTGTGTATGTGTGTGAGTCTCTCCTCTTTCTGTGTGTATGCATATGTGTGTGTATGTGTGTGAGTCTCTCATCTCCGTGTGTGTGTGAGTCTCCTCTTTCTGTGTGTATGTGTATGTGTGTGTATGCATATGTGTGTATGTGTGTGAGTCTCTCGTCTGTGTGTGTATAGGTGGGAAGGAGACTAAAGCTTATGCTCTGTTCCTGTGTGTAAATATGTCAGTTCGGGGTTCTGGAGTCACCTGCAAAGCAATCCTATCAGCTCAAAGGAACTCAAAGAAAAACCTTTGAAAATGCTGATACCCAGGCCACATAACATGAGACAGCCTGAGATGCTGGAACATTGCCTTCCTCAGACTCGATATTCTTCCAGGAGTGTCCAGTGTGCAGTGAAAGTCAAGTACTACTGTGCTCAGAACATGCTATATCTGTAGACTGGCTAACGGGGACACAGGGGCAGCTGATAGACCTGTCCCACATAGAGCAAAGGGAGATCAGGGTATATGATGATCACGAATTATCCATCAGCAGAGGTGTGACCTCCTCTTCGGGCACATACAGCCTTTGTACCTTATCCCAGGGAACTGGTTTTGGGTGAGGGGAAACAGCCAGCTCCTTTCTAACCTCTCTTAAATGTTCAGGTGAAATATGGCCAGCCTTCTCACAGCTAAAAGACTTGCAGCCGTGAAGCTACCGTGTTCCTTTCCTGGGACCCTCAAGCCCTCATCATCTGTGGCCTTGTGAGAGTAGAAACAAGGTTGGAGGCCTACAACCTCACCTGCAAATTGTCTTAAGTTAGTGGGCTGATGGGTGGATAGAGGCACACGTGTGTCAGGGCCCCTAACCTCCACTAGACGCCCACTGTATCTAAGCTTGTGACAGCCTGTCCCCATGGATCTCACTCTTCCTCACATTGTCCTTTCTAAGGACACTGAAGTTTAAGAGATTCAGGGGCTTGCCTAACATTGAAGGAGTGCTTAGTGGTAGCATTGGGATTCCACCTCAGGTTGTCTAGCCCCAAGGACCATGCTGAGTTTTCCCTTCCCTCTGTTAGCAATGCAAGGTTGGGTGGTCCTGTAATAAGACCTTCCCCCTACCAAGGATAAGAGTGGATAGGGCCGAGATGCTATTCAGAGTGCAAGTGAAAGCCACAGACACCATTCTCCCATTTCTCCTTCCCTTGATTTATTGAAGCTTCTCAGGTGTGTGACCCAAGGTAGGGGAGCAGCAAGAGGCAGAACAGGGATCGAAACCTCAAGTCCATCCGCCTGTAAACACCATGTTCTCTTCCACAGACCTTTTCGCTGCCCCGGTGCCTGTTCCAGCTGCATTAGGGCAGTGTTTGGGCGACCAAAATAGTGGAGCTTTCTGAAGTCAAGGGCACTGTACCCATCACTGTGTTTATATTGGCCTAGACACAGTTTTAAAAGTTTCCTTGAATGTAGTGCTAGGGTTTACCAATCACACACAAGCCTAGATTCCTCCTGACAGCTGAGCAGTCTAGGCAAGACTAGAGTCACTGTTCTGCCTGGCCTCAGGGCCCGGGAGGGTGACCACTAACAGCCAAAGCTGGCGTTTGCTGGCATGCCGACGTCTCTTCTGAGCTCCCTGGGTCCTGTGTGGGGCAGCGTTTTGATGACTTGTTTTGCACTCGCCTTGTCTTGGCCTTAATTCTCTGCAAATCTCCAGATGGCTTTAGCCTGTCCTGGAGATTTGCATGACCGTGTGCCGACGGACTGTCTGCTCGGGAGGCGCTCTTTTCCCCTGCCACTCTGCGCTCTCACGCTCTGCCTTGCTTCTTGTTTGTGGGCCTCATGAATTCTGACATTATGTCATATTCCTGGGGAAATGCTTGTGGGACACCAGTGAATTGTATGTATATGTGTTTACAGATGCAAGATGTGTGCATGTGTGTGTGTGCGCGCACACATGCATATGTGTGTGTGTGTATAGCATGCACCTGATGTGTGTCTGTGAGGGTGCTTGTGCTGAGGCTCATGGGTAAGAATGTTGGGATGAAAGAGTTAAGAGCTGGAGTTGGACATGACAGGGCTCTGTGGAGGCTTCCTTTACACACTTAACAATGGGCTGGAGCATTTCGAGTTCCTGTAACTCCTGGTTAACTGTATTTATTTCAATGTCTGTAAACCCACATGGCCAGGGAAGTGATAGGAAATGGATAAACCTTTTGAATCCTTCCTTAAATCAAGGCGTTTGTGTATTTTTTTCTTAAATTAATGGAAAGGAATGGTATCAAGGTTCCTGGTGGCAGGGAGCTAAGGAACTGTCGTGGTTGGGAGTGGGACCTGCAATTGGAGGCTGTGAGGCTGTGAGGGTGGGGTGGGGGTGGGTGGTAAGCAGGGAAGACAATCTCTGGGTCCATGTGACAATGTCTATAAGGGGGCAAGATCCCATTATGGCTTTGGAGATTAGTATAATCACAGTGAACTGAATTACCTTTCAAATGACCTTAGGGATAGCTGCTAGCCAGGGGAGGAATTATTAGCTGCTCCCGTAGGCCTGGTCTCATGGGTGATTCCAGCACAGGGAGACTTGCCAAGCCTCCCTGCGTTATGAAAAAAGGTAGATGACTATTTTATGCCGGTCTTGAGAACCAGCAAGCAGAGATCACCTGGAACTCAAGGGTTTATTTAAACCGGCCTGGGCTGGTGCGCAGGAAACACATCTTTCATTAATGCACCGGGTGATCATGTGCAGGCTATGGCGCAAGTCTTCTTTGAACAGTTTAGTGGCATTAACAAAAAAATCTCCAGAAAGTGGAGAAACACAGGAGAGATGGGGGAAGCAAGGCATTGAGAAGCCAAAGGTGTAAATGTAGATGAATGGAGACAAGACAAGAAAGAAAAGAGCCACAAAGGAACTAGGAGGCTCAGGCATGGTTTACTGACATGGGTCATGTGCACAGTCCTCATCAACGACCCGCACAGGAATCTAAAGTGTTGGGTAGAATGAGGGGCTGCACTGTCTATGAACAGAGAGTGGGGAAGGGGTAGGTGATATGGAGGAGTCCTGATTCCATACTTCTGGGAGAGGGCTTCCTGTATGAATGAGACTTTGAGGAACCTTTCCTGTCCCAGGCTATTGTTTATCATCACGCTGGTCTGCGCCATTTGGCAAGCGATGCTCAGAGAATCCAGACTAAGAACACAGGAGTTCCAGAGTGAAGCAGGAGGAGGTGATGAAGTCTCAGAAACACTGTCTCTATGAACAGTAGCGGGAACAGGGGACACAGAATGGACCGCGTGAAAAATAAACAACAGTCTTCCTCCAAACACAAGGATACTATACAGACCAAAATCAAAGAAAAACAAAGGCAGGTAGGAACAGCAGGAAGAGCAAAAGGCACTATGAGAAGGGAGAAGTCAAACCCGTACACTGCTTAGGTTCCAGGGAACATAGAGCGTAATAAATAGTCATGATTATATAGCCAAAAATCAGAAGAAGGACATTTGGAAGATAACAAAGGTATCTGACAGCACAGGAGCTTAGCCATTAACTAACATGTAGGGATATTAATAAATGATCCAAAATTAGTATAGCAAACCAATTGAGATCTAGCAGAAGACATTGCTATGTCGTGATGGCTATTAAAATAAAGGGCCAGCAACTTAAAAGTAATGGTAGTAACTGGGAAAGCATGGCTCCTAGGAAGTGGGGACTGCAGGCTGCCAGCTTTCATTATTCCGTGGCCACTGGCTTTTTAAAGCAGATTACTAAGCATTTTGATTTGAAGGATCATTAAAATATCTGTAGTATGGCAGTGATTCAATGTCATCAGAGAGGCCATTGCAGAGTCCTATCTACCGAGGGAACAGAACCTGGCTTGAGTATTTCTTGGCAGAACTTCCTTCCTCGGGGAAAATGCTTCTAATATGGAAGAGAGCAAGGCACAATGAGATCTTAGGGAGAAGAATAACGTAGTCATTAGTCTCTCCCCAGGATGACCCATCCTGTGCCTTCTAAATGTGGACAGGGTTGGAGTATGCTTCCTACCAAGCTAAACCTGACCGGATGAGCGGCTGTGGGCCGGAGCTGGGGTGAGGGGCAGTCGGAAGGTATGGAGGCTCTCACTTACGTGCACACACTCCTATTGCGTACCTCGGCCAGTCCCCACTGTAATCGCAGTAGAGGCCCCGGTGCGGGTCACAGATGGCAGCCTCTGTGCAGTTGTCCCCGAGCTGCTGGGCACAGATCTTACAGCATTCACAGCCGTCTGTGATAAGGCTGACACCCAGTGGGCAGCGAGGTGGAGACTGTGGGCATTCACAGGGCCACTTGCAGAACTCGGGGCGTGAAGTTGCGACCTCCGGTGGCACTGGAGGGAAAGTCATGGTTGTGGGGGTCGGAGAGATGACCTGTGGAGGAAGGGGAAAGACGGAAAGGGGTTGTTGAGTCCAGGGTTCCCAAGCCCAAATGACTGCATTGACTTTCCATCTTCATTATGTTTAGGTTCTTTCACAATTGGCTTCCATATGATCAATAGACAAACATCTATTTCTTTCAATAAAGCCAGTAAGATTAAGGGGCTCAAAGTTTAGAGAGGTCAAAACAATTCCCAGCCTGTAAAGTGCTGGGGCCTGGTAGCCACCTCAGCTCACGTTGGTTCCTTCTTTCCTTGGTGTCTCAATAGCCCAGCAATATGTGTGGTGGCACTGAGTTCCAGGAGAGGGAGCCCAGGATTTAGGCAGTGCAGACATGCTGATAAGTTTTGCTGCAGGGGAGTTGCCCACAACTCACAGCTATTGCTTCCTGCTGTAGCCCCAAGTTTTTCCTCCACTGAATCTTCTGAGCCTGGTAGAGTCAGATGGTGCTCCTGGGTATGTGCATGCATCCATCTGTCCGTCTGTGTGTGTGTGTGTTTGTGTGTATGTGTTGGTGTGCATGCATGAGTACATGCATGGGTGTGCACATGCCTTTGTGTGTAGTAGGCCTGCATGTATGTTGATGTGTGTGTGCATGTGTGTGTGTGCATGTGTGTTGGTGTGCATGCATGGGTACGCACATGCCTTTGCATGTAGTATATCTGCGTATGTGTTGATGTATGTGTATGTGTGTGCATGCCAGAGGGACTTCTTCAGCTGTTTTCTTCGGGTGTTGCACACCTTGATTTTTGAGATAGGGTATCTCATTGTTCTGGCACTTGCTGATTTAGCTAGGGTAGCTGAAATCAACCTTAGGGTTCTGCCTGTCCCCATCTCCTCCAGTGCTGGGATTACACCACACCTGGCTTTTCACAGGGGTTCTATGGATGGAAATCAGATGCTCCCAGTGTTTGCTGAGCTCTTTACTGACTGAGATATCTCTCCAGTCCCAACATGGCTCCTCGCTGAGTTCAAGTTCAGAAGACTAGCTCTTCACTGTAGTTGATACATGAGCCTTAGTAGGCAGGGCCACCTAGATGCAGCCACAGATTTATAGCCTCAGCTCATTGCAGCGCTCTCTTCCCTGGCCCTAAGGAGAGACAGCTGGGCTCTGTGACTCAAGTAAAACATATGGAAAAGGGGTCTTCAGTTTTCATTCAAAACAAACTCCTTATTTCTCCTACCTGCACTTCTCCTCAGCAGCCATACCCCATCCCCCCAGCCTACAAGTTCATGTGGCAAAAAGAAGAACAGGACAGCTGAGAAGGAAAACTAAGACCCCAGTGCATCTCGTCCTGGATAACAGGCAGGTGGAAGGACCCTGGTGTCCAAGCATAAGATGCTCGCACCTCTGTAATCCAGTCACCTGCCCACCCAGGACCCATCTGGGTTCCTTGCCGTGCACTGAAAGAGACTGAGGCCTGAAGGGCGGAAGAGAATCAGCTGCACCCTGCAGTTATTTCAGGGCTCTTTCAGCCACTCAGGAGATGTTTGGCGAGCTAGCCTGTAGCCTTCTCTATGTTTTTAGACACTTGAAGATAAGATTTAATAGGCCCTTTACTTTTTCGAAGTTCATGCAGTGTGTAGGAGAGACAAGCATTAGGAGTTATGGATCATGATGTAAGACTATGGTTGCTGTGAAGAGTACAGAGAAGCTGTCTGGAACTTGGGACAGGAACAGCTCTTGCTAACGAGGACCAGAGATGCGCCGCTGTGTTAGTCTGACCGGCAGGTTCTGAACCTGGCACATCACAAGTGTATACAGACTGATGCAAAGGAAAGAAGGCACCGAAGGCCAGCAAGGCAACTATAGTGGGCCTGTAGCACCTGTAACCTTGATTTAAGGCATCTGGGTAGGGAAGAGAGGAAGGCCTTATCAGACTTAATGAGAACCACTTGGCAGTGCCTGGGCAGGCAAAACTTACTTTGGGCCAAGTCTTGGCTCTTGGTGCCATCTAGTGGTGATAAGGCTTCCCGCTACCCCAAACAAGACGCACACTGCCATCCCTCTGCCCCCAGGCTACTCCAGGATTATCTGGGGTGTAAGACTACAGGCCAGAAGTTAATTCGGACTCCCACTGATCCACCCTCTGTGACACACAGGGACGCACAGATGACTGGTAGGGGACTTCTGCCCCTGAAGATAGACAGTTCAGACAGAAACGCACGCCAGCTCTTTGAGTAATGAATCCACTGGTTGTTACCGAACACCTACTGTGTGCTGTGCTCTGTGATGGGTTTAGTGGAAGCAGCATTGCATGGAGTCCATCTCCACACTAACACATACCCAGTGCTGATACGAGGATGATAATTGCAACAAGGTGAACAAGGTGATCAACGCTACAGTGACATCATTCATTTTGTTTGTTGACTCAACACAATTCTAGCTTTTCCTTTGCACTGGGTGCCGGAGTGGGTGCTGAAGTGTGTGTGGCGGGGGGGGGGGGGGGGGGGCGGGGGGGGGGGGGGGGGGGGGGGGGGGGGGCGGCTAGCAAACAGACAACACACCTGACTTCAGGAGTAGAGAGAAGGAACGTGGAAGTGTACAAGGTGGGGCCAACTTCTCCAAGGAGTGCCAAGGCTCTAGAAACCATGAAACCATGACGGAAGAGCAAGAGTGGACCTAGTGGAAAGAAGGGGGCAGGGGATTGAGTCCTGAGTTGGTGGCATGCAGTGTCCTGAGCGCAGCGGCTTGTGTGTCAGCCAGCGTGGGTGTGAAGAGGCAAAGGGTGATTGGCTGCTGATGCCCACTGAGTACGCTGGCCAAGAATAGTCCTGAAGGCCTCACTCACTAAGAGATTTTAGCAGGAGATGCTTGGGGCAGATGTGGGCTCGGAGCAAAACACACTGAACCTTTGTGCCAGGCCTTTGCTTGTCATCATTCCCGTGGCATGAGGAATCTCTATCTGAGGCTCAGTCTGCTCCTCTGAAGTGGCATTCTTATCCCTGAGGGAACAACTTTATGCTATAGCCCCCAGCTGTTCAGCCTGTTTCCTGAGAGCCACCTTCCTGAGGACACTTGGGACCAGCATCGAATGGGCTCTCTGCTACTCAGACTACCTCATTTTCCCCATGGCAACAGGCATATCATTTGTATTTTATAGATCGATGAAATGACTAGAACACCTAGCTATCTCAGAACAGGGATTAGAACTCATGTCTGCTGGATTTAGTAACCTTGCCACTATTGTGCACGAAGGGAGAATTTCTTGATGGAAGAAACTAGCTGAAAGACATTCTGGATACTGTCTGGGGAGGCAACCTTGGAGCTGGTGCGATGTCTTAGTCAATAAGTCTGATGACCTGAGCTCAACCCGTGGAGTCCACGTATGAAAGACAGACATGATGGCATTCATCTGTGATCCCAGAACTTTTATAGTGAGACGGCTGGTGAAGAGAGAAGGATGTTCCTGAAGCCTGTGGACCAGCTAGCCCCAAATGTGTAGAAAGAAAGAGACTACTTTCTGTCTTAGCAGGATGGAAGGAGGGGACCAACTTCTGAAGCTGTCTTTTGGCCTGTACACATGTACACTCTGATACTAAATAAAAATGAATAAACAATTAAAAAACTAAATAGCTGGCAATGATGGGGGCAAAGATCAGGCCCCACAGAGCTGGGCACACAGTAGGTATTAATATGCCCGTGCCAGCAGAAAAGATGAACTAAGGTACATTTCCCTGCCATTCCCCTGTTTTATGGTGAATAAACCACACACACACACACACATACACACATCTTTGAGGTTTCTACAGCTAATATCGATGGGGTGCTCCTTGTAGCATTGTTACACACACTAGCTCACAAACTGCCTAACATATTAAAAAGGGGGGCTGCTGATTTTCCTCAGAGTGGTGAGGAGCTGGGACCTCAGAGAACCTTGGTGACCTGACAATTGATCTGTAGAAGGTTACCTAGGGAGTAAGGGATGGGACCAAGCTGCTCTATGCCCAAAACTCTAGAAAATAATGCTTTATATTATTATTATTTGTGTGTGTGTCTATATGTGTGTATGCTACATGTGTGCAGGTGCCCATGGAGATGAGAAGAGGGTATCAGAGCCCCTGGAGCTAGAGTCATAGGGGATTGTGAATTGGTGAACATGGATTCTGGGAACCAAACTGGTCCTCTGGAAGAGGAACAAGTGCATATAACTTCAGAGCCGGCTCTCCAGCCTTTTCCCTGAAGGTTTTAAGCAATTAACTCAACTGCCCATGTAATAAACCCAGCACGAGGACTGTGGTGGCCAAAGAGAGCAGGACTTGATGAGCCTTGTACTCAGAACGCAATCAGCAAGCCCATTGCTGTCCTGTGGAAGCAACAGGCATGCAGGCAAGCTCAATAACTTGCAAAGCTTAGTCTCACATGGTCTGGGAGTATGGCCCTAGCTGAAGTGGAAGGAAGGGGAGAATCTCCTGGTGACCCCCCCAAAAAAGCAGCCCCTTGTGCTCTTTAAGCTGCCATAGGATCCCCCAGTGGCACCCTCCTTTTGGGGGATATTGCCCTGGACCCATAAGACCGTCTTCCCACACTCTTAATTTTCTTGGGATTCTGCCCCTGCTTTTCTGAGCATGAACTCTGTGCTCTCTTCAGAGATCTGGCTCTCATCCTCTTACAGCTCACAGGGCCAAGGTGCCTACTCTGAAAGTAGGCAGGTTGATCTCTGCAGACACAATGTTACTTGCACCCTGTGTTACTCTTAAGAAAGAAAGAGAAAGTAAATCAGCAAGCAAGGAGAATGCTGGCTAAGAAGGACAGAGACAGGAATAAATAAAAAAATAAAAAAAAGGCTTGGTCTTTCCAAGCTGAAGTTGCTCACATAAAACTTCTTTTACAATGTGCTTCTGGCACCAGACCCTGCAGATGCTACCGTGTTAATGGGAAGACAAGGACAAAGTGGCATGCCCAAGATGCCGCCCAGACGGAATGCACAGTACACGCTCAGTCATAGCTGGCTTACCCAGATCCATGGCTACTGGCTTGCCTGCCCTCTCCA